GGACAGAACAGTGTTGACGGTATTTGAAAGCGAAATGCCGAACAGAATATTTGGAATTAAAGAAATGGAATTATCAGGGGAATGTAGAACCTTACCCAACAAGGATCTTTTCATTTACTTATGTACAGATTAAAAGATGGAAGAAAGAGAGAGAGCGAGAGAGAAAGAAAGAAAACAGAGGAGAAAAACGAGAAAGAAGATGTGAGGGAAGAAGAGAAATGCATATAAATCCGGTTAGAAATAGTTCCGTGCAGAAGTCACGTGAACGACAAGGCACTGATCCGATAATCATTACTTACTAACGGGGCAGGTTTTTTCCGAGTACTTCTGTTTCCCCTCCCAATCTTCATTCCACCAATTGCTCCACAATCACCCTCACCTATCAACCTCGGGGCCTGGTACAATAGGCCAGAAGTGGCCGCAGTGCAAGAGACTTAGTCCCACCCCACTAGCAATAAAAAAATTACTTACTTACTCATGGAGCTGAGCCCTTCTGGAGGAGCTGCCAATTCTGCAGCTACTCAAGAATTCCCCAGCATGTTATGGGACCCGAAGGTTCATTACCATGTTCAAAAAAGCCCTCCACTTGTCCCTATCCTGAGCCAGATCAATCGAATCAATACCATCCCATCCTATCTCTCTAAGATTCATTTTAATATTGTCCACCTCATATCAAAATTAAATTAAATCAAGATCCGTAAAATATCTGTGTGACTTAAATCGATGAAACCGGCTCATTGGAAGCAGCGTGGTGGTTTATATTTCTGATTCAGTATAACAGCAAATAGCTTCTTGAGCAACAAAATAACTATTGTCAGCTCTAGGAAAATCCCAAGTTATTTATTTGACGTCTGTCTGCTTGCGGACTCGAGCAGCAGAAGCAAAGCAGTATATTTGTAGACAGCTCATCAGGACGTTAAGACTTCGTGGGTATTTTCGTCCGCGAAGTGTACTAGTAAGAATTGTTTCTAATAAGCTATTCAATTTGGAAGCATGTTGAGAGAGTTGCTTTCGAAATTGTACGCTACTTGTACGTGTTCTACAACCCCTTCTCAATCTCTCTAAAAACTTCGAAATTATTAATTTTCAAGAAATTTGTCAGGAAAGGCCTTATACCGGACTCCAAATCATATCTCTTAAATGCTTCTTCTTAATGATTCTAACATGGCGACTATCTGAACTACTGTGTTAAAGATAACTGTAACGCCACTGTATGCATGTTCGTGAAAATACTGTCACGTGTATGAGTGACTATAGACGGGAGTTGGATTGGTGATTGGATTTATTGAGCACTTACAGATCGTAACTACAAGTAACTATAGCACTATTGCTAAGTCACACACTCTGCAGTTAACTACAGCACATACTAAGTCTTGTCAGTCTGCTGTGTCTTCACCAGTCGTTGGCTGATAACGGATCTCAACAATGTCCTCTGCTTCCGTGCTCACGTTCTGACCAGCTAGCGATTGTCGCACAACTAACTCATTGCTCCAACTGTTCTGCTTATAACACCTCCACATAGACGGCACAGAAAAAACCGTTCCTCTGTTGCTGTAGCCTTTGTTACATTTGCATCTGTTTGGATGCCCACGTGTTCGCTACTTAGCCGCTGCATAGTAACGGCCCGTTGTTTAGAGAGCCATTACTTAGCAACGGCTATTGTATAACTGTTCATCTCGCTGTTGTTTCCTAGCAACGGGTCTACATGCCAAAATATAGTCAGATTTTCATGTATAATGACGGTAATGATGGAATGACGACCATACAAAATTCCTTTAACTCGATGACCATTACTGATGCTACCTCGAAAATCCAAATTTTGTGCGACACAAGATGGTAATTATATCCCCATTTTTTATTGAAATTTCACCGTAGACCTGTGTTGAAAACTACAAAAATTGCGGCAGTGCTGATGTTAGAGATGAAGTTTAAGAAACAGAACCACTATACTTAATTAAATGTGCATTTATATTTGACAAGAGAGACAATAAAACACGATTTTAGTTTAGGAAGATAGCTTATGAACCACAGTTACAGTATTTCTATTAAATGATGATGTGCGAAGGTAAAATCAATTTAGTATTGTCGCATGTTGCCTATGCAGCGCGATAAATAACTTCACGCGGGTCTCGGATTTGGCGAATATTTATTGAACGCTCATTCTTACACACTCATAATGTCACAGTTAATCCTTCTGCTGTAGTCGCTTCTCGACTTCACTCGGCGACTATCCCAAGACTGACTCGGCGAATGCATTCAACCCCCTTATGTAGACAGGTTCCGGACCGGATAGAACACACCGTTTTCAACAGTTCAGTTTCTGCTGTTTCGACAGTTCGTAGTTACGCAACGAACCTTCCATCTCTGGGGAAACGCGTTTGTTGATTCTGCAATTCCTACGCAACGGCCCTCTGTTATTGTGTTACCATGAAAGTCTCTACTCCAAACAAGTTACATTGCTCCCTTCTGAAGACTGATCGTCCCCGAACAGCCTAACGGAATTTCCTCTTGTTTGGTGTTCGTCTTCGGGGCGCTACTTCCGCCCCCCTGCTTCAAAAGTGTTCGTCCCGAACAATTCCATGGTCCAACGTTCGTTGGTCCCATCGTATCACATTCATTCGACACTCTTCCACTTTCGCTTGTGAGGCCGGTGCTTCCATATTACCGGTTCCTCCAGGGTGAGCTGTTTCGCTTTTTTTTTTTTTTCGTTCCGGAGGGGGTCGACCCTTCCACAGTGTCCAATTCTTGTTTTGCAGCAAACCCACCAGTGGATCTCGTAATTCGCTTCCCACAATTCAGTCTGAAGGTCTCACTGAAGATCTCGATCCTTACTCCTTTGTTACTTTCGGGATGCGCTCGGGGCGCTTGTGTCTTCTGGGACTTTGATACCACCTTGTCCCTGTAGTGGTCCTGATGGGTGCGTCCTCTACGCCGTGACACTTCTGTGCGGCGGGTCTTTCTCATTTTAGTGACGGTCCGCTCCTTTTTCTGGGTCGTGTCGTCCCGACGGTGTTTCTCTTGCGTCGTGCCACTGTTGCACAGCGGGACATCTTGTCGGTTTCATTCTGCTTTTGCCGTACCACTGTTGAGCGACGGGACACCTTTCGGTCGGTTTGCGTTGTCTGCCGTTGTCTGCCCGTACCTCTACGGACGACGGCCACTCGTTTCCGGTACCCAGCCTGATCCTGGGTCCGTTCCTTCATTTTTCTGCCGTTTCTTCCTCGGTTCTCCTACCGGCATTACTTCGGCGTCTTCTACGGGGACTACTTGATGCTCTGCCGCCTCAGGTTTCCTGTCCAGTGAGGTCGGCTCTTTTTCTTCTCGACGCGACTCCATCTCTCTGCAGGCCATCGTCTTTATGTCTGTCTCAGGTTAGATTTTAGCCACCATCTCCTTGTGGATGGCGTCTATCTCTTCTCGCCATGCTTTCATATTGGCCTGCCTATCGGCTTCCAATTTGGAAAGCAACTCTTTGTGGCCGGCCTTCATTTATTCATGGGTGGTCCCCCCTTTTTCTGCATGGCCTGCAAAGCGGCGTCTTAGAGTGGTTGGCTCTCGATTCTTCTCGCATGGCCAGCAGGAGTTCCATTATCTGCTGTGAACCCTTTTTGCGTTGTTTCGGAATCCGATCAATCCCATTTCTGACACCAGTTGTCGCGTGTTGCCTATTCAGCGCGACAGTATTAAAACGATATATTTATGGGTAAATATTTATGGCGGTGTTTACCACGCATGGCCACGTCTGTGTAAAACATCAAGGCTATAAACAGGAAAAGGGTTTCTCTCTGAGAAAAGTAACATACAATTTTGCATTTGTGTGCGACATCAGTGGAATCTAAAAACAAAACGGACCTTTTTTATTCTAGACATGGCCTCGTAATTTCGCAAGGAATTAGTAAAAACTCGGTGCGAAGACATTACACTTAATTCCTCCTGTAGGACTACATTGACTACGTCACCTCGGAAACAAAAACGACTGTCTCTGAATACCAACAATGAAATCCGTCCGAACCTTAAGGTCGGTTTCGAAAGACGGAGAATTCGCGTCTTGGTTTATCGCTACTTTTCTGATAATGCTACACTTGCAGTTTTATTTACGGACATGTTCTTCAGAAATTATTTAAATTTAATCAAAATCGTTAAAAGACGTTTTCGAAAACATCGCCATTGTATGTTTCGGGACCATATATTTTGGAGCTGAAATATTCAAATTCATCGCGCATCAACCTAATGTGAATATATTTTCGAACACCAAGATATGAATAAAATCAGTCCAGCCGTTTAGATGCTAGCGAGGATTACATCCATACATACATATATACAGACGGCACACCAAACCCCACTTTTCGTAATTAGGAGGGGGTGGGGCATGAAAACATATAAATCCGTCAAACTCACGAAATCGTTTTTTTTTTTCCACGACCACAATACTTTCTCGTGTATGTCACGTGTATGAGAAAGTTAAATAATAAACACGGAATTTAATAATTACTATCATACAGTTGAGATAGTAATTAAAATTGCAGGCTATGTCTTATACAGTAGGCTGTCATTCCCTTTTTAGCATTCATATCACTGAACTTCTGCCTTATTTGGTCGCTTAAACAGTGAAATTTATGCTTGTGACAGTGCGAGGCACCGTGGACTCGGACGAAATGTTAAGCAATTCTTCTATCAATTCATGCCGATCATTAAAGCTTACGTTCCACTCCACGACTGCACTCTCGAAATTTCACTGTGCCTATTCAGTTTCAAGAAAAAAAAACACTGCTGAGACCAACAATTATTAAAAGTGTGAAGTGTCCGAGAAGCATGCAAGAAACTATTTAAGATTGTGGAGTTCAGGATATTTGGTTCAAAGAATGGGAATTGTGATTTCAGGGCGCTTATTGCTCTACTACAGAGTCTATAACACGCTGTTCGCAATCCGCCCCTTACACTTTAGGTGCTACATTAACTGACAACATAGAAATTGACGGCATATTTCAATTCGTACTCACCTGACATTTCTAGATCAACAGATCGCACTTCAACTGAAGTTGTAACGCTCTAAGAGAGAATTCTCGTTGTTTTCTTCCCTTTCTCACACGCCTTTCATGTCCATCGGCACCTGTCAAGTTTCATAATTAACACTATAAACAGGAACCATATATAACAACTAGAGGTTTCCTCTGGCTCTCAACTATTTGTAAAACAAAACTGAAGGACACGCGACCAGCAGATATACACATGGACGTAACACATACAGCACACACTCAGAGCCCTCAGAGCAACAGCCGATCGATGTTTGGTCCGGCTACGGTCTGCGCTCCCCTCAACGCAATCGTGGGCCACTGGCTGCGCTCTGCCCATCTGGCTGCGTGCACGGTCTTCTGTGCAATGCTTATTATTGTGTAAAACTGTGTGCACTAGAGAAGACTTGGAGAAACAAGGTAATGACAGCCATGACGTGCATTATATAGTAAGACAATGCCCACTGAAGCCTCAGTTGGATATGTGGAATGGTAAAGAATGTAGTAGATTTCGCCATTTTACAAATTCACAAAACGATCATAATTTTCACGAACATATTCGTGGCCTGAGGCTCTTTTTCTCAACGCAATGTATTGATTTTCATTAACTTCTGTGGTAATGCAATGCTTCGAAAAAGGCAATTTCCTCCATCAGCCGTTTCTTTCACCGTGAAACGCCCAGACATTTCTATTTTAAAGACTAAGTTCTTGTGAAGCGCAGATATCAATTATCAGGATTCTTCTATGAAGGTTTCTTATCGACAGTTTACCTACAGCCATACACAGAATGCGATCAGCATGGCTGTGACTCATAATAATTGTTGGTTGCCTTTATTTAATTTATGAATTTCAACCGATATAGTGACCCCTTCCGTTGTTCATAATGTTGCTTGCTGTCTACGAATGGTAGAGGAATGAGAAATTCCCTTAACTGATTTCTAACATTAATAGCACGGCTTTCAACAGTGCAAACACTAAAGCATTCTTTCAATTCCCGTTCCCAGGCGCTCAAGTCGCATCCTTGTACAAACTGTAATCATCTATCTATCTATGGCTCTACAGTCTTTTTTTTTTTTTGCACCTTATCCGCTTTTTCAGTTTCTTAATCCTATACACAGTCGAGGACTCCTTGCACAGGGGATCAGCCCTTCGCAACGCCGCTACCTATATACAGGACGACACGAACACAGAATGAACGTACACAAGACATCCATTCCTTGAGCGTGATTCTAACCCACGATCCCACCATTCGAGCGAGCCGAGTCAGTTCATGTCTTAAGGGGCCCCTACACGTACGAGTCCGACTCGGCTCGGGTTCCAATGAGCCAAACTCGTCCGTGTATGGGTCGCAAATTTGGGAGTCGGCTCATGCGTTTGTGGTGAAATTAATTCGAACCCATCTCCCGAGTGAAGCTCGCCGAGCCGGACACGTACGTGTATGGGCCCCTTTAGAACGCGCGGCCACTGTGATCGGCACTACTGCCATCATACTAAACGTAAAATAGGATGTAAATTCATACAGTGCGAACGCTCAATAGCATGATTTATAAATAACTTAATTAAGGCTACGAGGAACCATTCCCTCACAAAAAGATGTTAAATTCGCATGTAATTATTCAGTGTTAGCTGATGCTCACCTTAACGAGGAGTCAAAGCCATAGCCCTATACTGAGTATGTAAGCAGTCAATATTAAGGCTTCATTGTTCACTGTGATTACACACGCCAAAGGAAAATTAAACATGTACCCGACGTAACATATGCCGTTCCAGCAAATAATGGTTCTTCTCTTTCTTTAATGTTCTTTCTCCGTCTTCGTAGTCGTAGATTCTCATTTCGAACATTTAAACTGTTTTATTTCTTTTTCAATGATTCATTAACATTTCTTCCATGTTCCTTGTAGTTCTTTCTCACGGTTCAGTCATTTTTACACGTACTTAAGCTTGAACACAGATATAAAGTCGTACAACGCTTTAATTTCTTTATAACTTTAACAAGTTGTGTTAAGTTCGTAGAACTTTGCATGTGTGTTTAATATTAAGTTTAAACCAGCTTACATTTCATGTTTCACTTTTACACACTGTATTATTTTCAAAGAATTAAGTTCGTAAAAGGGTGCGTATGTGTTTAAATTACGACAGAATTAGTCAGTAATAATGTTCTTTGTAAGCCTTCTGATATATACTCATACGTTTGAAGAAACTATGTACACTTAGTCACATAACTGATAGTTACTTAAAAGTTTCTGAACTAGAAATATCTTCCTCAGGCTCTTTGGCCAGCAATAACTTCAAAATTGGCACACTTAAAATGTATTCTTAAGAGATTACAATGATGTCTGTGTGTGTGTCCCCTCATTTCAACCATTGAACCAGATGACAGACTTCACGAAATTTGGTATAGATGTTATGCCATTAGAGGCTAGTCCAACACCGCTTTGTAATTTCTTACGGTCGGGAGTAAAAACATGGTACCATTTCAGCACTGTTTATAAGAAATTTCAAACTAAGCTCATCTATAAACAGTAATCGGGTTTCAAGAACATAAAAACAATCCAACTGATGCTGCAGTTTTTACAAGAGTGCAATATCAGTTTCAATCAGTTATAAAGAAAGTGCAAAAACTGTTGCACAAACTTTCCCCTAACTGTGGTTACGGTATAATTATTAAGACTAGGCAGTGATTTTTTTCCGATGGTAGAATGAGTCAGATATAATGCCATTTTAATGAAGACAGCTATTTTATATTTTCACTTCCATATAAAGTGCTGTGAACTTCTGAGTTTGAAGATCCCTGTTCATAAAGAACTTTTGAATGGTGGGGAATAAAACATTAAACATAAAATTCATTGAACAATTCTAATGCTAGAAAAGTACTGGACAGAGAGAAACATGGACAGATGGGCTCAGGGGTACATAAAATATACTCAGCATTGCACAATAATTTTTGTATATTATGTATATCCGATAATAAAAATATTCAGTTCCAGACATCTGTTACATCTTGTATAATATTTTGGCAAAAATTACATTATACGTGTCTTGGTACATAACTTCAACATTAAAGGTTATATACAAATTCAATGTTGTTATACCAGAATCAATAGGTGCAACAATCCTTATAAAGCTCTTTTCATAACACAGTTACACAGAACATTTCATAACTTAAAATTACACAAGCACAAAAATCAACTAGTGCATTACAAGCTTTCATTAATATAATAATTTCACAATACTTTTCAACTCTTAAGCTGTGAAACTTTCCTGTAGCCTTCTGCTGGATACTTCATTCCTAATGCAAATCAGTTTTCCTGGCACTGAAGTCTGCATCAGATTATAGATTGTCTTTCCGCCATATTTAGCTAGTGAGCCACCTAAACATGAGTTGGTAAAAATAAAATTAGGTAACCAATCACCTTAAATATCTTGCAAAAGAAATGGGATAATTCTCACATCCAGTTACCCTTGTTTTATAAAAGAAAGATAGGCTTACATTGTGTACATGTGTCAGCTTCTTCAATGTCATTTATGAAACAAGTAACAGATTTGCAGAAATGTAAGAACACTGTAGCCACCTCACTTTTTCATTTTTGATGTTCATACCTTCACTCATACAAACAATGCAGCTGGTGTGAACTTTTCATGACTGGAGTGACACAATCACCATTTCCATACAGGATACTGAAACTCTGTGTAATACTGCAGCTTTGGGAAAAAAATGCAACTTGTGTTGAATTGATTCTTTTCTCTTTAAAAAAACAACATTCCAGAAGCATGAAATGTATATTTTGCTTATGGTATGATGGAAATAACAAACCACTGGTGTAGGTATTACAGGCTGGCTGGCTGACTGACTGGGTTTCAGTGGTTAGCTTGGAAATGAGTTTTCTTTCTACTGACACTTTGATATCAGCTTTAGGTTCCAGATTCAGCCTTCTATGCAACATGTCCTAAGCCAATTTCCTTGGGAATAAAGTGCCTGGAACACAAACCTGGCCATTTATTTACATCTCGTGTCAAAACAAACAATTAATGGAGCTGCACCTTCACTCCCACTGCTCACTTTTATGGCATTGGGACTGGAAAGAGGGATTTGCCTTTTCTACAGCAGAAGTCCAATGTAACAACTAGACTTTCACAAAAAATTCACTGTATTTCCTTAAAAACCATGGGTTTAATTACTGTATGCGTGAAAATGTTTTGGTTTTAACTTGGACACTTTTCATAATCTCTGCAGTAAGGAATGATTTTCTAAACCTTGGGATTCGTGCAAAAACTTCTGATAGCATGACTGGGCCATTCATTTGAGAGTCAACTGTGTAATGGCAACACAGTAGTCTCTTGTCTTGACTCATTAGGAGTATGGATAGAGATGGACAATATATGCTTTCATCCTTGACCATTCTGAAACATGCGTCAGAGAGTGGCTATCGGTGCATAACAGGAAATAAAGAAAACATTCAAAATATGTTTGCCTTTTCTCCACTGGAGCGCATGGCCTAGTACAGCTGTGCCATTCACTGCCCTGTGGGACCCGCCCATGATCTTCCATGCCCCTCTGAATTCAGAAACAATACGTCTTTCTTCTGGGCACGATCACTTGGTCAATCAACACACAGACAGGTAAGAGATCTGTTTGCTGTCTGTGTGGAGCATATCTTCAAAAAGTGGTGTACACTACACTACTAAGTATAGAATCTTCCTTTCTGTACACTGAGAATAACTCCCCTGCTATAGCTCGTCATGCAGAGTACGTTATTGTCCAATTTTAACCAAAAACCGGAATAATGTGACAATTTTTATTAGAAATATAAAATATCAACTACATGGAAGCGAGTTCAGCGATTCTAGAGTTGTTAAATGCAAACACACAGAGACATGGCAAAAATAATATGGGAATTTTTGCATCTTGAAAGAGCACCACCATATTTCCTAGATCACACACTTCCTTCCCAATTTGTCTGGCCATTTTGAAATGTCAGCATCTTCTTGCTCCAATATATTTTTAGGTATTTTCAACTGAACCCAATCTAGTAAGTTGAACGGATACTTTGCCATTCGGGAAGCAGAGATGAAGCTAATCTCATCATCCAATGATTCACTCATCATCATCAGTAATCTGTCAGACGACCGGTCCACAGTCTCTTCCTAAACAATTCCTCCACTTAATGTGATCTAGTGCTTTCTCCTTCAAATGACATTATCCTCTTCTGTTCCCAAGGTCATCCAGCATCTTCTTACGTCTTCTTCCTCGTCTTCTTGTCACTTCTATCTGCCC